TTCTGGATTTTGAGCCAATGGCTATAGAGATTGAATCTTTCTTGATCTCAATTTTGAAGTAAAAAAAACGACTTTTACATCCAATTAATTGGAAAGGTAGCAGTTGTCAAATTTGGCGCTTCTCTTCATACTTTCTTTCTCGCATTTTTGCGAATTTCTATAAATTAGTTTCAAATTTGACTCATTTGCTAGGTTTTTTTTCTGAACATCAAGAGCGTGATCAAACAACTTTTTAAGAATTTCACCTTTATATTTTTTACGTCCTGTTGGTTTTATTTTTTTCTACTCTCCGGAAAGCTATCTCCAGTTTCAATTCTTTTTTAAGTTTGAACAATTCGACTTTTTCAGGCTGTTCGATTTCTCTTACTCAACGGACAGCCTGTCAATATCTCCTTTGTATATTGTTTTTTTTTTGTATTTGGTCCGGTGTTTTTTTATACAAATTTTTCTTGGGCATGGTAGTTCTTTCAATTTTCATTTTCTGAACCCACCGCCCGCTAAAAACGGCGTAACATAAGATATATTTTTATAAGCTCAATCGCCTAATTTCTTTTCTCAAAGAGTTTTTTATTTTAACTTAAAGGACGGTACGCAGGCTATTATCTAAGAACGATCAATTAAAAATTGCTGATATCTTCTCATTGAAGAATATCGTCTTTGTTTACTCATACACTGAAATTTCCGACAAGGAGACTTTGCGGATCTCAAGTAGTCAATCTTCACAGAGAATCAATTATTTTATAAAATGCAATTTTTTTTAAGCTAGATTATTTGATATAGTCTGTCAAATTGACTTAAGTTTCCTTTCCCCAGAAACGTTTTCTTGTTTTTGCTGTCTCTAATTTTCGTGTTTTTTTCTGTAGACAGTCAGCAGCTCAGCTAATCTCCAACTAACATCTCTTGGCTGCCGTCTTGTTGATCTATTTTCCAGCTAGTACTCTGTTGGCCATTTTCACAAATTTGAGGGCAGTCCCCTTAATTCATTCTCCTGTTCTCAGATCATTTGCCCACAAAAAGCGCGAAATCCACTCTTGTCTTTGCCTTCATGTTCCTGTAGAAATTTCGTGCAAGCCGGCCATTTTTCCTTCCAGCCCACACCGAAATGCACATTTTTTTCTATCCTCCTCTATGAAATACACGATCCCATTTACGACATTCACAGCCTTGTTGTGTAGCTTCTGTGCGTCAACAGACATGCTTTTTCGTAACATCTCCTATCTCTAGCTTAACTACTTACATTTCCGGGTTAACTTGAATTTAAACCGCTTGATCCTCTTGTGCAATATCACTGCCTTTTGGCTTGAAACCAAGGCGGCAATGCCCTCAAAGCCGAGGCAAAAAATTGCATGCGGAGTAAAAACCAAAGCACTAAATAACTTTACGGTGGAAAGCCAGTTATCTACTGACATCATTTGCTTGAGCTTCCAACCAATAAACTGCTATGATAATCAAATGGAAACAGGCTCAATTTAATCTTGTTGAGCTCTCTCAAGTGATGTTTTCGTAAACAAATTCTTCGTTTGTATTTCTATACGTGCATTAACTTCACTTGGAAACAATTTATTATGATTATTAAATCAGGAAGCCCAGTAGATCAAACCAGCACTAAATTTACCGCTTAGGATGCCATCGTGACTGCAACAGACAGTGGTAAGGGTACTCGCCATGTTTTGGCATCATATTCTTCCAGTTCTCAATTCCGAAGCTTCTATTCCGAAGCTTCTATTTTTATGATAATCACGTTAGTTTCATGCTTCTCATCAAAAGCGGATTTAGGTCAGGGGGAGCGGGGCAGATGATCTCCTGTCAACGATTTGACCCCCTGCCGAGCCAAACAGTCCCCCCCCCCTTGTTCTCTTTTGAGATACTAATTTTGGCTGACGGACCCTAAAATTTTTCTAAAGGCGCCTTTGGTGCCAATGTATACCAATTTTTAAGGGGGAGCGCACGCCGAAAAATGCAATTTTTTGGTAAGAATTTTCGGAAAAAGCCTAAGAACACTATTTTTTGGTCTGCCTTTCACTACAACCATATTTGAAAGATTGCTGCAACGCAATTGAGCTGCACTTGATCCCCCGACAAAACTTCTCACCAGCTGGTCTGCGAGTTTCATCGCGCCTCCTCGCAACGATATCTGCCTCGATCGAATCCCGCCTTCTTCTAATCTTCTGCCCGGTCTTCTGCTATCACTCTCTGGTCATTCTGTTCCAGAAGCTGCAATGATTCCATTAAATCCATCATATCAGAGAATCGTTGTGCTACAAGGTCGAGTTGCCCATCTGCTGAAGATTTCCATTCCCATTTAGAGTCAGCGAGGGTGTATTCATCCCCTCTCTTCTTGAAATCCGAGGAACTTAAACCAACAAGCAAAATGAGTGTTTCTCATTCTCAATCAACTCCCCGTTTGAGAACCCGTACACTTCGGTCTTCTCGTCTGCGCAGGCTACGGGTTGAATGTCTCTCAAAGTTAAGATCTCCCCACTTTAATGTTAACAACTTTCTAGCAAACTCCTGTCTTTTTTTTTAATTCACAAACGACTCACTTTTTTCCTAACCTTTATCAAAGCGTATACTTGCACTGTTCAAATCTTGCGCAATTTGAACCGCGATTTAAATCTTTACTTCACATCTTACCAATTTTTGAGCGATTTTTGTAAACAAACCGCTCGAAAACAGCTGGAAACGCTCATTTTAAAACAAGATTTTGAGCGCAATCGTCTAAAAAGCGCTCAAATTACTCAAATATGCTTCAAATTAGGCGCAAAATCTCAACTCGGGTAGTTCTCATTTTTTTGAGGTTTTGAGATTCACTTTTCTCTGTCACTGACTCGGTCAGGGCGTCGGATCTTTCTGGTGGTTTCAGGAGCTTGTCCCCAACCTCCCATATCACTGGCTGATTACAACTCATCAATCATGGTTGATTGGGTTCCATACTTTCGAGTCACTGCCCAAGTACTGTCTGCAAATTTTTTTGGAACAACTCAAAACGGGGAAGTGTGGATGAACATTATTTGTTATAAGATAGGGAATAGATCGTGCAATCACCATTATAATCTTCAAATCGGGAAAAAGTGTTCAACAGGGCATAAATTTCTCCGTACATCTCCGGATTGACCTGGATAGACCAAAAGTGCTAATCATACAATCCCAAAAAATTAGTCTATGGAAAAAAAACGTATCATACAAAATTCATACATTTTGCTAATTTGAAGTCATCGAATTTTTGAAGTCACATTTTCATGTATTGGCATAAAAGTCGGTATATTGTCATGAGTAAAAAAATTCCAAAAAAGTGCTAGTCATACAATTTCCATAAATGAAAACTGTATGACTAGCATTTTTTGATGACAACAAACTTTTGTTTTTTTGTTTTTTTTTGCGCAAAACGAAATTTGTACCAAAAACTTTTCTAATGTTTCTATGCATGCAAAATGCAATTTTTTTTGTGCATAAAGAAATTCTGGATGCACGCAAGGTGGATTTTTTCCGTTTCTCTGAATGACTTTTTCAGAAACGCTCAAAACGCCTAAACATTTTGTATGGCATGTTTAGGTATGCCCCTAGATCAACCCATGAATAATTAAAAACTCAAACTTTGAAAAAAAATATATCTCTGGAACTTTTTGCCAAAATTTAAAAGTTTGATACTTTCGTAATATGGTTTGTGTAAGACAGAATTAAGGCATTTCAGGCCATTTCTAATGCATTTTTATTGCGAAATTGTCAAACCTTTGGAAAATCTACGTTTGAGTAACAAGGTTTTTGTCACTTGTGTTCGATTATGAGCACAACCCAAAAATTTTGAGAAATTGAAATTTGAGAAATCAATATTGTTGGTTCATGGAACAGGTTAGTTAAGCAATTTCCATATATGCCAATTCACTAATCATTGACTAATCATAGACCTTTACTACAATTTTTTGTACTTGAAGGGAATGAAATATGTTATGATTAGCATTTTTTCACATATGAAAATTGTATGGCTAGCGTTTTGGGTCAATATACATAATTTCAGATACAAATTTTCTAATATAAATTCAGATACAACTTTTCTGGCGCCTTTTTGTCCAATAACGCAAACTTGGAGACTTTTTTAACGTTGTTAGACCAGACAAGTCTGAAATCATGAGGAACTGTTCAGCATTTCTACAGCAAGAAGCGTCACAACTTCTCAAAAAAGGGACAAGACATTTTGACGAAAAATGAGCGTTAAACATGTAAATTGAACTGTGATAAATCTATTTCTCAGAAAAACATTGTGGAGAGTTGCGTGTGTTGTCGTCTTAAAGTCCCATCAAAACGGTTGCCGTCTTAATGTTATGTCGTCTTATTTGCCGGACACCGAATTGAATAATCAATTTTGTTTGGAGAGCTAGCTGCTGTTCTGCCTTGTGGCTGCTAACGCCGGACTGTTAGATTCAGTTTTTTCTCAATCATGATTTTCCAACTTTCTTCAAAATTGCTGATTTCACATCTAAACATTGCTGTTTTCCGATTTCTGGTTTCAAGGTTTTTCAATTTCCCTGGATTTTCTCGAGAGTGGACTGATTTTCAAAAAATGTTCAAAAAAGTGTCCCCATGTGGCTGAAATTAGATGTTATAAATAAAATCAAAGGTTGACCCTTTGGTTCGTGAATGGATCAAATTCCCCCCTAAATCTACTCCTGGTTTCAAATCTAATCAAAAAATTATAGACTGGCGTTATAAGTTTTTGCTAGTAAGCTGGAGGGATTATATAGAATTTGAAAACACTCCAAAAATTTCCGCTACAAAAATCATTCTTAATTGACCAGAACAACAGCTGGGCAACATTTTAAAACTGTTCGTCAAAATATTCTTCGATGGGCTTTCGTTACCTCAATGGTCAGCAGTTTTTTGACAAGCAATAAGTTGAATCCTCCTTGCTAATTACATTCATTGAATTATGGATTGAGTGGCTTCGAACGAGATATTTGCCTTGATATGCAAAATGTTCGTGTTGACGTTGCGTTATAATAAATCGCGACACTATGGCGACATAATTTTGTAGGGCCCTTGGAAATTAGACGACAAGCAAATTAGACTACTGTAAAAAACCAAAGAATCGTCGCAAAAATTCATCTAAATTCCCCGGGACTTAGGGGCCTTATTATTTTCTGATCGTCTATTTTTTAAGCCCCAATTTTGAACAGAATCAAATATAATATAATATAACGTCACACAGGTTAGTAAAAATGGGACAGTTAATCAAAAGTTACGCAATCACTAAATTAACAGTCTAGTTTGAATTGCGACATAATTTCCACAGAGTACCAAAAACAAAAGGAGAGGACATACAGATTACCAAAAATAGAACAGCTTACTAAAAGTTGCCCATTTCTTGTATCAAGATTACGTGATAATTACGTTTTGTAAGGTAAAGGACTATCTACTTAAACAAGCGGAAGCTCGTATTGACACTGTGTTGACATTGAATTTGCAAAAACTGCGGCAAATTTTTGAGTGATCCAGTTTTGAACAACTTCATAAAGAGTAAAGAAAATGGAAAAGTTGATTAAAAATTGCCCATTTGTGTCAAAATTACCTACCAATTATGTACGGAAGATGAATGGCTATCTGCCCAAATATGCAGAAGTTTGTCCGGTCATGTCAAAGTTCATGCGTCCTAACCCAGGTCAGTATAGTCAGTACCCGTTAGCTACTTGACAAGAGAGCTTCAGAGCTTTCAATGTGTTCAGCCTAACTAGAGAAAAGATTTAAAATACTATTTTGTTCCATTTTTCATTCTGAATTTTGTCAACTATTCATAAGGAAGAGGCATTTTGAAATGAGTTACTGAAACTGGGACATCCTTAATTACACATTATCATTGGAAAAAAGCTTATTGATAATTTTTTCGGCATGGCCTTTCATCGACTGCTTAAATTAAGCCGAGTAGCTATTTATATTTCTGCAAAAGTGCTTTTATTTAGACTCAGAGGCTACCAGTCAGAAAAAAATCAACACCGGGCCAAAATCAAAACAGTTAAATTCTGATCAACAGACGAAACTACACAAAAAATACGGAATCAAACTCGGCAGTGCCGACAAACAGACAGAGTGGCCCAAAAGTGGCAAGTCACAATTGGGTTATGAGTACAAGTTCCCAGTGGTGATGAAAGTGTGTTCTGAACTGCGACGACAGAATAGCAAACTACCGAGTAAGTGAAACACAAATTTAGGCAGTATGAAAAAAAAGTTATTTCCGAGTGACGCGGTAATTTCAAAGAAGCTGCCAAACCGCTAAAATTAAAGAAAAATTTTCATTGTAAACAATCAGCCAATTATTCTCTCTTTAATATGTTCTATTTGTGCATTGTGACCCAAAACAATTTTGAATATAAAATGGTTCTTCAAATTAGGCTCGTATTTATTTTTTGCGATTAAGAGATCTTTTTTTGAAAAGTATTTTGAAAATTGAGAAATTTTTTTTTGAAATTTAGCTAGCGTTCCCTGACGAGCGAGGTTGATGACATTGCAAACTTTCCGATCATGACCGCATTTGACCTCGAACTTGACATCTTTGAAATGGACAAATTAAGATTGCGGTTGATTTTTTTCTAAAGCTGTTGTTCAACAAAAAAAATAAGGTTGCGATCGGTTGAGGTGACGAAGTCGAGGCCGACCTTGAAATCTACTTTTAAAAATATGGACTCATTGATCATTGTTTATTTAACCGCACAGGAGTTCATTGGATAAAAGTCGATTACATTCGAATTTCTTTGTCAGTGTCTATAAAAATTGATCATAATCAATTAAAAATGCTTTATATTCAGGGCCGAATCTAGAATTTCCTCAAAGAAGGGGCTGATTTTTTTTTGTAGGTCAACCAAACTGATTTTTTGAGCTCTCCCACAATACTATAAAGACACTATTTTGCCCAAATTCTTGAAAAAACAGGCCAAAAAAGCGTTTTTAGAGAACTTTGAAATTGCATTTTATCGGCGCGCACTAGCCCCTCAAACTAAATTTATGAAGAAAAAATTTTAAGGTCCGTCAGCCAAAAATGGATATCTCGAAATAGTACAAAGGGGGGACCCTTTGGGTCGGCAGGGGACTGATTTTAAGAAATTGGGGTGTAATTGTGTTGCATTTTGAGTAGATGTAGGTTCAGAAGTCGAGTAAGCCTTTCATTCAGTTGCTTTTACAAAGTTTCTGCAATACTCATTTGATAAAAGCAAAAATGTGATGCAAAATTTTGCACCGCGCCAAGCAAAAATCAGGCTAAAACATTTAACTTAATTGAATTTACTTGGATCACAATTATGTTTTTGATTGAAATTTTTTATTCTAACGTTTAAGTACGCCTTTTCATTCTACGCACAATTGAATGCATGGTCATCAACTGTTTTAATCATAAAGAAGAACGTATTAGCACTACAGTTTCACTATATTCAAAGTGTTTTTTAGGCTTTCAAAAAACGAAAATAGCAATTTTTGTAGTGAATCGCTGTCAATAGAGAGAGGCATGAAAAGCTGGCTTCAAATTTTGATTTGCTCAAATAGTTTAAATTTACAAGTTACAACGGTTTTTGTTTTAATTTTGGAAGTTTTTTGAAAATTTTAGATTTAGAAAAAAAATTAAAATCTCAAAATTTGCGAGGCTGTTGGGGTAAGCTGACAGATAACTTCCGGGGGTGGCAAATACGGTCTGAGAAAATGACTGTTCAGTAATTTTTTGTTCCCGGGATATGACGAATTTTGTTGTTTAATCACACTTTTTGTTTCAAAACACTTAAGTTTTTAAGAAAAACTCAAAAAATTAATTCTCAAAACTAAGTTAGGTTATTTTTGTGTACAACCCGGAACTGAAAAAATTGGCCGCCAAATTTGAGTGCTCCATCTTTGTTCTCATTTTCCGCGAGATGAGAAAAAATTTGTTAAGAGCATATAACATATATAACATATTTGTCAAAACTAAAGTTCTCAAACCTTTAGTTGGAAGTATTTCGAAAAATTACCAAGGCTTACAGATATGACACCTCATTTCGACTACTCCAGTCTTTTTTCCGAGAGGAAATTTTAAAAGTTTTTTGAGCAGAATTAAAGATCAAAATAATTTTTTGGAGATGGATTTGAATTTTTGGGTTATAGAGCGGGTTGATGTCAGAATACTCTCTATGAGAATTGCAAATATGTCCTCCGCCAAGTTTGGCTGCTAAAAACTTTTTTACAGCCAAAATATGATGTTTTTAGATTTAAAAGCAATCCATAAAAGCAAAAAAGGTTTCTATGTTGACTACTTGAGATGATATTTTTGAAAACATGGCAATTTCTATGATTTTTTCGAAACTTTAGCAAACTTCAGAAAACTTTCAGAAAAAAATGATTGAACTTGAAATTTAGAAGTTAAGAACTTTAAGGAAATTAGTTTCGAGTGAAACTGCTAACATCTGATACTCTGTAGGTTTGGGAGTTTTGGTCTGTTAAGCAAAAAATTAATCTAATAACTGACTTTATAAATTGCTAAATTGATGAAGTAGAAAATCTTGTTGGATGGTCCCAATTTACGGCTGCAGTAATTATCTTGTTTTGTTTTCGGTTACATTTTAAGGCAGCTTTTTCATGTTGGATAATCTGTTTAAGCACTGTATCTGCGAGTCATGCGCTAATTAACCAAAAACTGCTGAATTTGTTATCGGATTTCAGATTAACAGTAACATTTTCACATGAAAGCCGTGTTGAAACAAAAATTAACCCAAAGTGCTTCAGTGTATGAAAAACTAAATAGCACAAATGAGCTAAATTTGGCAAATATTTGGCATCAACTAAAATTTCTATTTTAGAATTTGGGAATATCGACTACGAACAAGTCATGCAGGACCATATCGAGGCTAAAAAGACAGAACATTCGTACAGGTTGTTCAAATCTGTTGAGCGACAAGCTGGAAGCCATCCTATTGCATTCGAACATGAGAAAAACAAACCAGTATGGAACTCGATGGATTCTCAGAACGACGAATTCAAAGACGGTATAGATAAATTGCAAAAAAATTAACTGACAAAGTAAATTAAAAAGAGAAATCGACCTATCTCTGATAACTTTTGTATGCAAATGCTAATTTTTCAGACAGAAATTATGACTTAAGGTCACTAAAAACCAGAGTTTGCTTGCAAAAGTAGCTCGAAATTGGCAGATTACTCTTTTTAATTATTTGTGTCTGTTCCAACTTTTTGCTACCTATTATAGAGAGTTGCAAAAAGTTCGGACAGACAGAAATATTTAAAAAGAGCAATCTGCCAATTTTGAGCAATTTTTCCATGCAAAATTGAATTTTTAGGTGACACTGAGACATACTTTCTGTCTGAAAAATTAGTTTTTGCATGCAAAAATTGTCTGAAAAAGGTCATTTGCTCTTTTTATTTATTTTGTCTGTCCGAACTTTTTGCTACTAATTATATATAGAGAATCAGGGGCGGATCTAGGATTTTCTCGAGGGGGTGCGGATTTTCAAAAAAAAATTCGAAAATTTTGACAACCTTTTTTTTAGGTCGACCAAATTTATTTTTCGAGCTCTCCCAAAGCACTGTTTTGCACCTATTCTGGCAAAATTTTCAGCGCCGCAGGCAAATTTTTGAAAAAAAAACAGTGAAAAAAGCTTTTTTTTTGGTCACTTTTTGAAAAATTTTGACAGAAAAATCGCGTTTTTTTGGCGCGCGCTCCCCTTCAAAGTTAGTATATATTGGCGCCGAAGGCGTTTTTAGAAAAATTTTAGGGTCAGTCCGCCAAAAATGGATTTCTGAAAAACTATCAAAGGGGGGGGGGCCTTTGGGTCGACAGGGGGTCGAATCCCTGAGGGGGGGGGGGGGGGGGGGGAAGGCGTCCGCCTCCCCCATCGCCCCCCCCCCTAAATCCGCCCCTGTAGAGAATTGCAAAAAATGAACAGACAAATTAAGTTAAAAAGAGCAATCAACCTATGCTAAATTTTCAGACAAAAATTAATTATCAAGGTCAACTAACAAAAAGCAAATACCTATTTCAAGTTTCTTTGCATGTAAATGCTAACTTATCAGTGCCAAGGTTGCCCAAAAAATTAATTTTGAATGAATAAATTGATCAAAATTTGCAGTTTTTTGTTTTAAATAGTTTTGACTGTACCATATTTTGCATTTTTTTGAATTCCAGAGACTCGAGACATAACGGTGTGGTGTAGCAACGACTACTTAGGAATAACTTCTCACCCGGAAGTTATCGAGGCGGCAACTACTGCGATTCGTCGGCACGGATCAGGCGCGGGAGGCACGAGGAATATTTCGGGAACCACTCCGTATCATAATATGTTGGAAACCGAACTTGCCGATTTGCATCAGAAAGAAGCCGCTTTGGTCTTCACTTCGTGTTATGTTGCGAATGACACGACTTTGACGACACTTCCGAAGTTGCTGCCTGGTAAAATTAAGTCAATTAAAATGGCTGAGCCGCAGAGTTTTAAAGTGTTAAAACTCACTATTGTCTTCACGCTTTGTTTTCATTGTTACGTAATCCGTCACTTCAACTAATGATTATCTCTATTTGAAGTGCTACTCCAAAACTCAAACAAGACTGCTCGTATCAGGGCGAAGCCCTGAATGTTCCGACTGCCTTTTGAGGTTTATGGAGCAGTAAAAACAAAAAAAAATAAATGTAATTAATTAAAATGAATTTTTTTTTCTGAAACTTGAAATTTTTTATGAATATTATCCCCCCACACGCCATATAAAGTACAAAAGGATGGATTTTGCTCATGGTAACAAAACAATTATGACAAATAAGCTTCTTTCAACCACCAACTTGGAACAATCCCTAAGACGGATTAAGTCTCCGCTTACGCGTTTGTTGCGCGAAATGTATCGCGCGTTAATTTTCCCAAATTGGCCAAAATTGCAATCTTTAAACCACCATAACTTTTCGAAAAATGGTCACAGGTGAAATATCTTTTCAAATTTAAGCTCAAGACAACAATACCTTTCGAGTGATATAAAAAAGTTTCGTCAAAAATGGCTAGTTAAAAAGTCGAAATTTGTCAGAAGAAAAAAAAACCCACCCCGAGCACAAACATTCCGTTACTTTCGTATCGAAAGTCGGAACAACAAGAAATGTTTCAAAAGAAAACCGCCGCAATTTTGTTATTGGCGCCAATTTTTCTGATATAAAATTGGCACAATTGCCCTTGTTTTAACGAGGGGATCCGCAAAAAGTTTACATGTAATTCTTGACTAGATGCACAACAACAGCTAATTTTAAAGAGTAGAACAGCTTGTTTTTGAACCTTTCGCTCGCGAATAAATGATATTAACTCTTGATGCCTTTATAATTGCTTGACAATAGTCCGCATACAAAACTCAATATAAATAAATTCTTTTAGGTTGTGAAATCTTTTCGGACGAGGGAAACCACGCATCTATGATCCAAGGTATCCGCAACAGCAGAGCGCCCAGATACATATTCAACCACAATGACCCCCAACATCTGGAGCAGCTTCTGGTTAAGGCAGACCCATCCACTCCCAAACTCGTGGCCTTCGAATCAGTTCATTCTATGGATGGTGAGTTCATAGAGTTTATGGAAAAAGTTGGAACAGACAGAATTAATAAAAAAGAGCAAATGACCTGTTTCAGACAATTTTGCGTGAAAAAGCTAACTTTTCAGACGAAAAAAAATGACTCAACGTCAGCTATTAACTCAATTCTGCAGGGAAAAGTTGCTCAAAATTGGCACGAGATTGTTCTTTTTAATTATTTCTGTCTGTTTAAACTTTTTGCTCTGCAGTGCTGATTTAAATTATCGGAACGAAACGAACAAATCTTGAACTTTTAAACACGTTTTTCTCAAATTGAGTTAAGATTAGACAAAAAATGAAAATTTGCATAGAATTTCATCAGAATTAATATGGTGTAATTTTTTCTCCGAAATTCTCAACCAAAATTTTCCTCAAAAATGGGACATTTTGGCTTTTTTCCAATTAATCAAAAATTACGCTGGAACTACTTTGCTAATTGATGAGGAATATATATATATATATATCACAAGAAGCAATGCTGATTTTTTTAGAGTGATAAATTATAAAATGTAAATTCTGCTAAAAATTTTTTTTATTCCGCTGATAGCGAAGACACTTATTTAGGTAGGTTCAAAATTTTCTTAATTAAAAGGCGTTTTTGTATCTTAAAAATTGCATTCGTGCTTAAGCTTAGTTTTCTCGGTTTGGCCACTAATTTCATATTAAATTCAATTGAAATTAATCATTCGTTTGCTAAAAATGCAAATTGTCCTTCTAGAGGACATTGGAGGACACTAGACATAAATTGCAGTGGACACTAGTTAGATAATATACGATAAGTATCTTTTTTATTCAAAAAGTAATATACGATAAGTCTGTTTTATTCAAACAGCAAAATTAACGTAACATTGAAATTGTTTCTTTCCTGGAACAAATATTTCTCGTCACTGACATCAAAAGGGGATAACTAACGTTCACAGAGTCACTGATGTACTTCTTTTGTTCCAGCAACCACTCGTTTGTTCCTTTTTTTGACAGTACCCTGAGCAATTTTCCGAATAGCCCTCCTTGTCTGCTCATCCGCAATTATTGATTTTGTAGTTTCTCAAGGGCGCGTTAAGAAGTACTCTCCATTGTAATAATCTCAAAGTAAAATCCCGAAAAATAATTTAGATTCTTTTTTGAATTTAGATCAAGCAAGATTTTTGTTCAATAAATTGCTCCTGAAACTTATCGAATAAACAATTTAAAACTGAATATTTAAAACTTGACAATGGTTGCAATATTCGAATTAACCGCTGTTTCATATACATCATGCTGAATAAAAATATTTAAATTGTGATAACGTTTTTGATTGGAAAACAAAGTTTTGAGGTTATACGAATATCTTGAAACTAGCCACAAAGCTTTTGCTTTTGTTGTTTTTCCGACTTTCGTAACAAAAGTTACGGAAAATTTGTGCTCGGGGTGGTTTTTTTTTCTTCAGACAAATTTCGGCTTTTTAAATAGCCATTTTTGATGGATTTTTTGATATAATTCAAAAATTATTCTTGTCCTGAGCTTTAATTTGAAAACATATTTCATCTGTGATTTTTTTTGTAAAGTTATATGGGCTTAGAGACTGCGATTTTGGCCATTTTGGGACAATTAGCGCGCTGATACATTTCGCGCTATTAACGCGTAAGCGGAGATTTAATCCATCTTAGAAACTGATCCAGATTAGTTTAAGGAAGGTTGTTTGCCATAATTGATTTGTTAGTAGGAGCAAAATCTATCACTTTGTATTTAATATGGCGTGTGGCGTGATGGTTTTCAGAAAAAAAGGCTCCAAGTAAAAAAATGTATTTGATCAGATTGTTTTATTCGAAAATATGGTCGATTTTTGTGAGCGTTGCGTTCATTTATTAAATGGTGCATTATATTTTCATTTCGGGAAGAAAACTGGTGATTTAAGGTTCCAAAAGTTAAACCAAAATCGAAAATAGGTTAAATTATTGCTATAACAGATGCTTATGATTTCAGTCGTTCGGCCGAGTGGTTAAGGCGTTGGACTTAAGATCCAATGGAAAATAGTCTACCTGGGTTCAAATCACGGTGGTAAAATAATTAATCTAGTCGTAATACACAGAGGAAACATCAAATCTAAAAAAATTAAATCGTCAGAAATTGCCAGATTTTCTTTTCATTATCAAGAAGCTTTGTTAGCTGCTTAGAGTTTGATCAGAAATAGCTGGTAGCTGGTCTGTTTTTGAATGTTTATAAGCCACATTCTTGAACATTTAAGTTTGAAAGACGATGAAACTAATATGAAAGACGATGAAAAGACGAATATGGTCGTAGTGGGCTATATGTAAGACTTAAGCTACTATGGCCGAGTGGTTAAGGCGTTGGACTTAAGATCCAATGGACAATAGTCCACCTGGGTTCGAACCCCAGTGGTAGCAGAATTTATCTACTACTGCAAAGAAGTCATGAAGTCTAAAAATAATGTAAACGTCAGAAGTTGCCAGCTGAGTTTTCTTGCATGTTTAAATTCGAATGCTCGTTAAAACGCTTTCTGTATGGTTCCAACTCAATACATAGTGAATTTATAATTTCTTTACACGACTTAAGCTTTTTTTTGACAAAACAGGAGGTCCAAACTTCAAGAAAAGAACAAACTACCAGACACTTTAAAAGCATGAAAAGTATCGCATCGGCTGTGTGCGCTCTTCAAGCTACGATGACCGATGATCGAGTGGTTAAGGCACTGTAGTTTAACTTTTATCAAACATAGTTCTAACTCCAGCAGTAGCATATCTTATCTAGTAGTAGCATATAAAATGACGTCAAATCTTCAAGCTTCTATGGTCGGATTGTCGAGTGGTTAAGTACTGTAGTTTAACTTTTAGTGAACATAGTTCTAATCCAAGCAGTAGCATATCTTATCTAGTGGTATCATATAAAATGACGTCAAATCTTCAAGCTACGAGGGCAGATGGCCGAGTGGTTAAGGCACTGTAGTTTAACTTTTAGTGAACATAGTTCTAATCCCAGCAGTAGCATATCTTATCTAGTGGTAGCATATAAAATGACGTCAAATCTTAAAAAAAGAAAACGTCAGATGTTGTCAGATGTAGCTTTCATTACCAAATGTTTGAACCAATGTTTTTATGGTAAAAAGCAATTTGGTTGAATCTAGAGTTTTGAATGCTCGTTAATGGTTTTTCTATTTTTCAACTAAATGCATTGTTGGTTTTTCATTTCTTTACAAACATTAAGCAACCTGTGACAAAATGGGAGCTCACCAATGAACGACAAGAAAAAAAACAATCAGCCCAAATATGTGAAAGGCTTGATAGGTATTAAACCTGAGATTTAGACTTCTATGGCTGACATTTAGTCCCTCAAGAACAAGAGTTAAGATCAAATTGGACAATACTCCTTCTGGGTTAAAAGGTAGATTTTTGAAATGTAGATTTAAATGCTCCCGGGTTGACAAAACATCAATTCATACAAATTTCATATAAAAAATATTTTACCATACAGTTTCATTCATTCAGAAAAGCATAATAAACCTCGGTGAAAATATCGGTGAATTGAAAACTGTATGATAAACAACTTTTTGAAAAACAAAATCAGTTATCGATGCTACCGAAACTTTCTAAAATTAATAAATTTTACTGCTTTTCTACAGTTTTAAGGTCCAAAGTCAAGTTATTAAAAAAGATTAGGATCAGAAGTACGTAGTGAGAAAAAATGCTTATCATACAATATCCATTTTAGCACGAAACTGTTTGGTTTTTTCATCATCCCTCAGATCCCTTGTTCACATCAATTGAGTGAAAACATTTCAGCGTTATGCCCAATCCTTGAAATGGTTGGAACGCAACGTTTAAAAAACCACTCTTTCCACGAGTTTTTAGGCACTTTTTTAAGTCATCGTGTAAGATAGGAGCCACTTGGTTGAGTTTTGAGTCTATAAACTACCTACTCTTTTTTATTTGCAGCATTTCTTGAGCGTTTTCATATCTGAATCGAGCTTAGTAAGAGCAGAGTTTTTCTGTTTTTGTCGTTAAAAAGCCTAAGCGTAGATTTTTGTTTGAATAATACATCAACACTGTACTTGAGTTTGGAAGCTTTTTTTCTTGGAAACTTTCTTGAAAACGTTAATTGTTATCAAACCATTAGACGTTCTTAATAAAAATTTATAAAAAAAGTTTCATTGCTTAATGTGGTCACTTAAAAAACTAAGTTTTACAAATCACTTCTTGCTGTGAGATAACTAGATTCGTCACGGTTGATTTCAAAGTTCATGGTTTGCTTAGAAAAACATTTCTATGCAAAACATTTGAAAGATTTTTGATTTATTTCAAAATTTTTTGCTGGATAAGTTTGCCCAAAAATTGAATGCGGAAGAACCAATCGATGTTTTGAAAGAACTTGAAATGATTCGAAGTTTGATCGCTTGATGTGTTTGCCTGCAAGAAGCAACTAAATCTTTTTACTTTTTCACCACATAAGCATTAGTTTTATAGTGTAACTAGGGGTTTTACAACGTTAAATATGTAGACCGAATACTCTTGTAATAACCTTATTAGTTCACAAGCCAATTGTTGTAATTCTCAGACAAAGTGAACAGAAAAATTACTTCTTAAAGTTCGCAGGTGAGGGTAAGGAAAAAGAGCCAATAGTTTTTCGCAAGCCATTTTGAGCTTTTAAATAACTTGATTCATTTCAATATTTCTTTGCTTGATGAGACTTGCTCAAAATGCGAATTGTTTGCGAATTGTTTCTAACTCCATGCAATTGAATATAAAAATTAAAATTTTATAGCTCTATGAATAAACTTAACTTTTTAAAGCTCCTTAAATCGATTCGAGTTAGAAAAAAAGCAGACATTATCAATTGATGAGGTTGATTGAAAAACCAAAAATTTAGTTTCGCCAAGTTTGAGGTTGCTCAAAAACGAAAATTTTGCGGGTCAATTTTTTGCTTCAATAACTTGAAATATTTCAAGGTATCCTCGCTGAAAGAGCTTGGTTTTTGCAAGTCGATTCAAGCCGGGAAATCTTTGAAATAACTTACTGAGCTTTGATTAAGAGAAATCCTAATCTATTCTAACCAATTTTTGTTACACAATAAGTTTAAATAGTCGGGAATTTCATCATTCAGTTTTAATTAGTTGGGAACGTCTTGCCAGCAACATTGAAATAGTTGAGAACTTCATCATTTGATTACCTAAGTTGCTTCGAATTATTAGGTTTTCCGCGAACAAGTTCTTGTCTTCAACTAACTTGGGATTACTCAAAACTTTTTGTTGTATAAGGTTGCTTAAAAGACTCATAGTGTTGCAAACCGATCATGCGTTGAAATTATTTGAAATTCTTCAAAGATTGCTTGATGAGCTTGATTTGAAAAAAAAACGATGTCATGTCAAGTTGAATTGCGTTCTGAAATATATCAAAATTTCAACAGCTGAAAACTTTAAGTTATTGGAAAACATTTTTTAAAAGTTTTTAAATTTTTGTCGCGTAGTGAGCTTGCTCAAATTTTTTTTTATTTTGTTTGCATCGATTTATACTATGGATTATTTCTGGGAAAATAAACCTCCACGGGAATCTCCATAGACGCCTTTTCATAGTGGAAAAATTTTAAATAATTTTTACAGAAATCCGTCTGCCAGTTAGGTTTAATTGCCTGCAGAATCAGATGAGAACTTTTTGGACCAAATTTAGAAATTGCAAGACCGTTTACTTGAAACTTTGAACTGTTGCTATAGCTTTTTTGGTGCATGGACGGGTATGATAGAAATTTTGAATTTTTGATGTTAACCCGGTTCATTTGAGTTTTCTAGTTTCATATTAATGCAAATTGATTTTATTAAATTTTTTAAGGCTCAATTTTTTGACAAACTTGACTATTATAAGTAGAAAAGTTTGTTCATACAGCTTATTAATTTTGGTTGCTTTAAAGTTCACTAAAGTTATCTTAAATTCGAATCTTAAACTCGAACAAAAAATTTTCAATTTTGATTGCTTTTTGAGAACTGTTAGAAAATTTAAAGACAGAAACTATGATATCTGTTTTCCCTGAGATAACTTACCCTTGTAGATATGATCTCATCACAAAAAATTTCACCTGAAATAAGAAAATTTTATCAACAGTACCCGAAATTGCAAAAGAAACTGTCTTGTCTAAATTTTGAGGCACGTGCATAGTTTTAGGAGTCTTTCTGATTGCTAAAAATTTTTCATGAATTGTTTTAAAATTTGTCATTATGGTGGAAAACCGGTTCTTTTCTGTTTTTTTTTCTTTTTTTCCTTTTTTTGTTTTCCCAGGCAAAACCAGCTACCACAAATAAACATCGCCCTGAGTTGTGTGATATATTTAAGTCTTTTAAGTGGTTATTCGAACGACAATAAAAAATTTCAAAAAAATTTTCCCAGTGTTGAGAAAAACAGGTTTGAAATTGTTAATTTTTTGTCTAATTTCTTGTTTTCATAAATTGTTTTCCAGTTTACATATTTTAGAATAGCTGACAAAAATTCCTAAGCTCTACTTTTTTTGCTCAGATTCCTTTATAACATCAAGCCAAAAAAACGACACTATTTTGAAAAAATAATTTTGTTTGGAATGTTCTTTGTTACTTGCCCAGTATTCGGCTATCCTTGATGAAATTGTAGTCTCTGCCTTAAACTGCAATGAAAGTAGAATCTATTGCATCGAAGCCGATTGAAAAAGTATTGACTATTTCTTCTAAGTTTGAGAACAATCGTGTTCTTAACAACTCCGTAAAAACAAGCTGCAAACCTCAAAACGAATGGACTCTTGAATCGAAAACAACCCAATAATGAACAGTTCAAAGTGAATGTCTCACGACATTGCAGTACGAGAGTTTAATCCAAAAGGTACTTAAGGCCACAAAAAAGCCATTGACCAACAGCCATATGGTAAGTTCATGGTATAACTCATTGTTATATCAAAGCAATTTAATTATCAGATTATCTAATTATAAGATTACCCCAATTATAAGATAAAGACAAACAAGAATGCTTCTATCAGGACAACGCCCTGATTGTTGCGACTGCCTTTAATGTCAAGGTCATAGCGTTCAATTTTAAACAAAATGATTAATTAAAAAATTTTTCATCGAGGGAGCACAAAAAAGTTTTTATAAGAGAGCGCACAAAAATGTGAATAGAAGTTGTTGTCAAAGCAGAACTTTTTCTGACTGGCAATCGAGAGCGCACAAAAACGTCGAGAGCGCACAAAAAAAGTTTTCATTATTTTGATAATCGTCCCCAACATGCTATTTAAGTTTAAAAGATTTTCATTGTTTAGTAAATTTTACTAACGAAAACTAAAATGCCTCATTTTGGAACAAAAAATGAACGCCCAAGTTTGTGTTTTAGCCTGGGTCAGTGTTTAAAAAGCAAAACTGGTTCGATTTGAATCATACTTTTCAGTTCCGTTTACCCATTTATAGGATGCCAGGTTCTGTGAAACGAAAACCATCAACACTTTTTCTTAAGAGTTTTTTCCAAAGTGAATGATACGCCGAAAAATTTAGCAAGAAAAAATGTGGCTTTATAAAATTGCAAGTTTTATATAGCAAAGCAGTAACATTGTTCGATAAGGGTTATATAAAAAATTATCAATAAAATCGGGTCATCGTTTGCTCAACAATTTTGTTTTTCAGCAAATAAAACTAAAGAAGTCGTAACTGAAGAAATTAGATTTTACCTTAGCCAAAACACAGTTAAAAAACTCACATTCTATATCGAAGTTACACCAGAGAAACCATATCAACTTTGAACAAGTACACGACTCCAAAAACTAACAATAATTAATATAACTTAGCATGAAGTTTTGCTCAAACGTGTATGTTGTTAAAGCAAGATCTCAAGCGAAGAAACTCGAAAGTTGTTGAAGCAATCTTTGGAGGAAGCAGCTCAAACCTAAGTTCAATTTCTCTAATTCATTCGAACATTTTGATCAAAAAATTTTGATGCTCCCAAGCTAAATTTTGTTTATCATATGACAAAAGAGAGAAGTTTGTTTTTCGTTCGCTCGCCGTAGAGATAAAAACGATCAGGAAATCAAACAGAAAAAAAATGTCCAGAATATCCTTGCCATTTTTTCCCGAAAATGTCCAAAACGTCCTGGCCATTTTTTTTATTGTTGAGCTCGACGGTAAGAACATTAAAATATTGTATTCATAGTGTCTTCTGACTTTCATTTAATAAATAAGATGGATTGAAGTGTTTGAATTGATTAAAATCAAAAGATCTAGTCGCAACCGTTGATTTCAGTTTTTTTTAAATGTATATAATGAGTAGATCGCGTGTACAAGTAGTTTGTGATAATTTTTGCAATTGCAGTTAGAAGCCAGAGTGTTTACTCTGTTTAAATGCGTAAGCCTGTCTGTCCTTGTAAAAGCGAGCCTCCATTTATTGAGCTTGAGCCTGACTTGATAACTGAAAGGATAGCAAGCAGAGATTCCAAGGTCGCACATGACTACCGCTACTACATAGAACCACATTAATTTTATGATTATTATGATTATTATGATTATTATGATTACTTTGCGGATTCCGCTTACAGTTTGCGGATTCCGCTTACAGTTTGCGGATTCCGTTTTCAGTTGCGGTCTCCGCTTACAATTTGCGGGTTCCACAAAACTTCAATTTTACTACACATAGATAGATTATTGTTTGTTTGTGGATTCCACAAACTGTTCCGGAATCCGCAAATACTGTTGCGGATTCCTCAAATTTGCATCTTGTTGAAGCATTTTTGAGCGGTATGAAACTTTAGCCTTTTGTTTGGGGAAACCAAAGCAGCAAAGAAGATCAAAGAAAAGTAGCAATGTTGCGGATTCCGCGAGAAATCAGATTTTGGCCTGCTGCGGAATCTGCTTAAAATTCACAAAACGCACAGTTTGGCCTCGTACTGATATGCTAAAATACCCCAAAAATCCCATCTTTTTTAATAATACCAAAAATATAGACCACATAGCTGTCCAGCGAAATGCCCTAAAATTTTCCTGTTTCAGGAAGTATCTGTGACCTGCATGAGATGTGTGACGTAGCTCACAAGTACGGAGCCCTGACTTTTGTGGATGAGGTGCATGCAGTGGGTCTGTACGGAGAAAGAGGGGCGGGGATTGGGGAGAGGGACGGGGCGCTCCACAAGATTGACGTCGTATCCGGAACTCTGGGTAAAGGAATACCTTATTTTTGGGAAGTTTTAGTACAACGCTTTAATGATCTTTTCCCATTAAAGCCCCCTCCCAAAAAAAAATCAAAATGAAAAAACCACCGTGTATAGGAGATGTACTTGTTTCTAGGCTAGAGGGTATCAATAAAGTTAACAGTAAAAAAAAAACAAAAAAAATAGTTGTCAAAAATAATCCAATATAATTGAAGATTATTGCAAAAAAGTAATTAACTACTTAAAATTAAAAAAAGTAATTAACTAAAAAGAAAGTGGACTAAGTGATGATAGTCCACTTTCCTTCTTTTTCTAAAATTGGTTATTTTAGCACAAATATTCAATAAAAATAAATTAGAAAACATAACAATTGATGTTTGTCCAGGCAAGGCTTTTGGAAACATCGGAGGCTACATCGCGGCTAACAAGACTCTAATCGACGTCATCCGAAGCTACGGTTCCGGCTTCATCTTCACAACGTCTCTTCCCCCCTCAGTGCTCTACGGGACAATCGCTGCCATCCGAATACTGAAAGGGGAGGAGGGACAGGTGTTGCGTTATAGGCAGCAGGAGAATGTGAAGTTGTTGCGTAATAAGCTGTTGCGAGCGGGACTACCCGTGATTGATGCGCCTAGTCATATCATACCTATTCATGTAAGTTTTTTCGTTGCATTTTTTGTTGTTTTCTAATTTTTTGGAACTTTGTTTTGTCCCTATTTTGGTATAAATCATTCAAAGTTTGTGAGATTGCAGTCTTTGTTAACAATTTTAACAAATAAACAAATAAAAATTTTAACAAATATCATCTATTTGTAGATAAAGAAGTTTTTGATCACAGTGCTGATGTTATGAAAGAAATTACAAAAAAAATAGATTCAGATCTGTCTATTTTGGCAAAACTATCAAAAACATTTAAAAAACTCTACTTTTCTGCGGAATAATTGTTCTGACTGTATGCTTCATCTAGTTTTGTACTTAATAAAGCGTGTAGGGGATGGTTTAGAAAAAATCTTAAAAAAAAACGGAAAACAAAATTTGAAAATTTCAGCAAGTTTTTGAAAGCAAACTATAACACAGTACTTAAAAAGCAGTCGGAACATCCAGAGCTCCGCGCTAATACGAGCAGTCTTCTTGTTGATTTTTCGCAATTTGAAGCTGTTTTTGCCTTTTTGTGTTTTTTTTGTTGGATTTGATTAAGGCCATCAAAAGTTTCTAAATATGACCTCTCACAAAGTTATAAAAACTGCAATTTTGATTGAAATTAAAATAAAAATATTCAAAATTAAACACTAGATTTTGGAAATTTGCTTGCAAAAAAGTTAAAAAGTTATTATTGAACGATGTTTTCTGTTCAGGAATTGAGCGGTGTCATTAAAAAAAGTTTCTAGAGACCAAAGTTTTTACCATGTTTTGCAGGCGAAATGGAAATTTTTGTACCAATATTTTTAGGTTGGAAACGCAGAAGCCTGCACAAAAGTATCCGATTACCTTTTGGACAGACACGGTATATACATCCAAGCTATCAACTACCCTACTGTAGCCAAGGGAACAGAGCGACTTCGGATTGCACCCTCGCCGCTTCACACGGAGGAAATGATGGATGAATTGGTGGGGGCTCTATTTGAATCTTGGGTTGCGAATCGACTGCCACTTAATGTTTTGGTGTCCCCGGTGCAAGGAAGTGACTTCTGTCGTGATAGGGCAGAGGAATTGTCATTGACTTTCAGTCAGAGCTGATTGCCTGTCAAAAATAGACAATGAAGGCATATTGTTACGATTTTCATATGCTAACGTTATTGATTAAATAACATCTGAACTGAACTATGTGCAAAATTGGGAAGATTTTATACTTAAATAGTTTTCTTAATTTATGTTTGAATGTCAACCGAATGAAGCCTGGAATCCATACTAGCAAGCGTAGTCGGTTACCGAGCATAAGTAGCATGAAAATCCAGACTACACTCTGAAAAAAAATCAAACATGAAGACCAAAAAATAAAATATCAAGAATTTTTTGTCCAATTTTCTGTTTTTGTTCGTTTCTTAGAAAGAAGTAGTGCATTAGGTGGGAAAACAACAAGTATAATGGGTAAATAAAAATCGGTTGCTGTGCAAATAGCACAGAAAACTCGTACAAAAATAACAAAATCAAAAACTAAGTAAAAAAATGTAACTGATGTTTTGAGGGCTGGATTGATTAATAGATATCCACTTTTTTTGCCAGCCCATACCTTTCACGTAAATTTTTTTAAAAGAATCGATTTAACTACGAGAACTTGAAGTTATTGAATATCACCGTGATTTGAACAAATTAATATAACAATGATGTGTGCTGCTATCAAAAGTTCGAGACCATCGACTCAGCTGGTATTGTTTGTGCTTGACTTTGTATTAAACTTTTTATGTCATCTTGCAATTAAAAGTTTTACGAACTCTTTGCTTTTGTAGTTTTCTTCATATGAGTCATCAAAAACAAAAAAAATGTTTTCTAGGTTGTAGAGAGCTTCTAAGTGTGGAGCTGCATAAGTGCTGTATTAAGTCTTTTCGGCATTTTTCCGTTTACTGATTGGTTTTATTTGAGCAGTTCCTTTTTTCCAGATCCTGATTGACATTCGAAGTCCATCAACACTCTCGTTTGTGCATCTTAAATTTTGTTGAAATTCTGGGGTATGATTATACGTATCCAAATAAATCTAAAGATAACCTAAGTAGGCGAACAATCATTAAAACTACAATTGTTTCTCTGTTAAAAAACATCGTATTTAGGCGTGAGTATACAAACATCTATCCAATGTTTCCAAATTTTTCACTCACAATCTACTGAATCATTAAAACTTTCTGCTACAATTGTTGCATTTCCATCTATGAATACTGTATGAGAAGCCTTTTTTCTGACTAAAAGCAAAACTGAGGAAAGTCCCTAAACCTGTTTCATGAATAAAAAATACGTTCTTCAAAAAAGTCCACGAGAATTTCTTCAGTGAAGAATAAAAAAAAGAGTAGTCTGTGTGTTGTCAGCAGTTTTATCTTTTGTCACTAGATGATAGCAGTCAGCCAGCAAAAATAGGCCACGACTTTCAACCGGTTTTTCAAAAGGAAGCCTCATATATATTTTTTCTCAAATATAATATTGAAAAAACTTGAAAGATTAAATTAATTGGCGTCTATCGGTACCTATTTTAGGCTGCAACTATATTGCTGCCTAACCTATTGGTTTTTTATTTGTGGTCATTCAGTGCATAACCTAAAATCATAAAGCGAAACTTGAAAAAACTGCAAAATAAACAACGCTTGTCATATAATTTCATGGTATAGAACGAACGTTCATTGTTGCAGCGCAAATATAAACAATAGTATAAATGCATATAAATGTAAATGCATGTAGAGACAAAAGCCAAGCGTATACATGGTGCGTCCCGGGGGGTTCGGCACCGGTTCGAATCCCGCCTAGGCCATTTCCTTTCTAGCACTCAAATGAGCCCCGAACTTGATGGGATGCTCCGTAACCAGGTTCGAACCCAGGTTCGAACCCTATTTTAACCGTCTTCTCGCTCTAATTTGGTTCAGCCTTGATTAAGGCTGACCTTTAAAAAGAGCAATTTGTCTCAAGGACAAATACTGGCCATTTTTGCAGCTTGCTTTGAGTTATGCAGTTTTGTGTGGCCGATGGTACCGACGATAAAGCTTGTTAAAGTTATCGTTATATTTTCAAATTTCCGGAGTTATTTTGCCGAGAAAATACTCATTAATTAAAGTGTTTAAAAACCGTTTTTTATTTAATCGTGGAGATTGAGGCGCACATTTTGGCGCCCACAAGGGACCCGACAGCAGTCCAGTTATCATTCGAGTGAGACCTAAAGACCAGTTTGAGAATCCCAACTTCTTCTCATCCCTCTTTGACCAGGATCTCATCCAGTATTTTCAGTTCATAGCCGATAAAGGAATCGGAGTGCCTCAAAGCTGCGAAGGTGCCCTAGTGTGGTACAAAAAAGTGGCGGACAGAGTTGCCGAAGACGTCACATTGGGCAGTCCAGTTGTCCAGGAACCGTTAAAGTTATTGAAAAAATATCGGAGAAAAAAAATTAAGCTCAGTCGGTTAGAGCATCGTGCTGGAAACGCGAGGGTCGACATTTCGGGCCTGTCTGTGGTTTAGGCAAATAACTCAATTACTGTGGAAAGAGTTTCTGTTGATGCGTAATAAGCTGTTGCGAGTTGGACTGCCTGTGATTGATGCGCCGAGTCATATCATACCTGTTCATGTAAGTTTTTTCGTTAATATTTTGTTGTTTTGTATAATAAAATAACAAATATGTGGAACTGTATTTTGTCCATTTTTGTTGTTGTCTTTCTTTCAAAATTTAATAGATTTCAGTGCTTATATCAAGAAAGAAATTACAAAAATATAAATTCCCCTACAGACGTAAAACGATTTTGGCAAAACGATCAAAAACAATTGAAAAACTCTGCTTTTCTGCGGAATAATTGTACTGACTTTATGGTTCATCTAGTTTTGTACTTAACAAAGCGTCTGTAGGGGATGGTTTAACAAAAAAAATCTCAAAAAATATGAAAATTGTTTCATTATTTTTGAAAAATTCAGCAAGGTTTTGAAAGTGAACTACAACACAGAACTGAAAAAGCGGAAGGAACATCCAGGGCTCCGCCCTATTACGAGCAGTCTTGTTCTTGATTTTTTGCGATTTGAAGTTGTTTTTGCCTTTTTGTGATTTTTTGTTGGATTTGATTTACACCATCAAAAGTTAGTAAAATATGACCTCGCACATAGTTAGTGACTGCAATATTGATTTAAATTAAAATAAAAATATTCAAAATTAAACAGATTTTGGAAAAAAACTTGCAAAAAATTTAAAAAGTCGTTTTCGACTGTTGTTTTTTTTTCACTACATTTATGGTTTGAGTGGTGTCATTAACAAATTCTGCTGGAGACCAAAGTTGTTACCAAGTTTTGCCGGCCAAATTAAAACTGTTGTAGCAATTGTTTTAGGTTGGAAACGCAGAAGCATGCACAAAAGTATCCGAAAGTATCCGAAAGTAACTGAGCGTATTCGGATTGCACCCTCGCCGTTTCACACGTAGGAAATGATGGATCAATTGGTGGGGGCTCTATTTGAAACGTGGGTTGCGAATCGAGTGCCGCTTAATGTTTTGGTGTCCCCGGCTCAAGGAAGTGACTTCTGTCGTGACAGGGCAGAGGAATTGTCATTGACTTTCAGTCAGAGCTGATTGCCGGTCAAAAAAGGACAATGAAGGCACATTGTTGCGATTTTCATAAGTTAACGTTATTGATTAAATAACATCTGAACTGAACTACGAGCAAAATTAGAAAGATTTTTAAACTTAAATAGTTTTCTGAATTTATGTTTGAATGTCAACCGAATGAAGCCTGGAATCAATACTAGCAAGCGTAGTCGGTTAGTGAGCATAAGTAGCATAAAAATCAGACCAAACTCAAAAAAAATCAAGACCAAAATATAAAATATCAAGAAATTTTTGTCCAAAACTTCTGTTTTTGTTCGTTTCTTAGAAAAGACTAGTGAATTAGGTTGGAAAAAAAAACAAGTGGTAATAATATAATAATATAAAAATAATATAATAGTATAATTGGTAAATCATAGTCGGTTGCTGTGCAAGTAGCACAGAAAACTCGTACAAAAAGAAACAAATAAAAAATGAAGTAAAAAATCTAACTGATGTTTTGAGGGCTGGATTGATTAATAGATATCCACTTTTTTGCTAGCCCATACCTTTCACGTAAAATTTTTTTAAAAAGAATTGATTTATCTACGAGAACTTGAAATTGCTGAATATCAACTGCTGATTTGAACAAATTGATATGGCAATGATGTGTGTTGAAATCAAAAGTTCGAGACCGTCGACTCAGCTGGTATAATTTGTGCTTGACATATTTTGTATTCAACTCTTTATGTCATCTTGCAGTTGCAACTTTTACGAACTCTTTGTTTTTGTAGTTTTGTTCATACGAGTCATCAAAAACGAAAAAAAGTTTTCTAGGTTTTAGAGAGCCTTTAATTGTTGAGCTGCATAAGTGCTGTAATAAGTCTTTTCGGCAATTTTCCGTTTACTGGTTTGTTTTATTTGAGCAGTTCCTTTTTTCCAGATCCTGATTGACATTTGACGTCCATCAACACTCTCGTTTGTGTATCTTAAATTTTGTTGAAATTCTGGGGTTTAGTTATACGTAACCAACTAAATCTGAAGCCAACTTAAATCTGCAAAAAATTTTAAAAAAAAACCAACTTTATTTCTCTGTGATACAAAAATCAAAAACAGAGTATATGTACATCTTAGTCATGAGTATAAATTCCTAGAGTATTTTGCTCACAATTAACTAAATCATAAAAATTTTCTGCTACATCTTGTAGATTGATCAGACTGATCTACTGATTATTATGTCAAGTTAGGTGGAGATAATTGACGAAAAAATGATTTAAGAGTATTTACAAAACCATATTCACTAAAAATTAAATTTAAACAGATAACCGTTTTTATTATCATTCATTTGTTGTACTTTACATTTAGAAGGCACCAAAACATTTTTTTTCACATATAAATTTTTGGCCCTTTTTTGAATATCTGCTGTCAGTTCTTTGCTAACTGGATTCAACTGCACTCCCCGTCTTTATTTGGTAAGCGAGTGAAAGCTTGCTTTTGCGACCGTTAGGATCTGGGATAAGCTTGAAACGTTTGAAATAAAAGAAATGACACATCACTGGGGAAAAACTTCAGAAAATGGGCTATTAACAGTTTGCTCTTTTCGCCGAAATATTTGCCCTCTCTTATCAATTTTTTTGTTCTGTTTCGAGTAACTCTAATTTAACTCTCTAGTGTCATCCAACTGCACAGAAAAGATTTTGGCGAGACGTAGGTCTTGAGATGAGCTGGTCTCTTGTTGCTCATTTTTCACCAATCACAAAAAACGCCAGCTGTTTAAGAGCACTATATTTTTGCGAAATTGTCTAAAAAATCTGACAACAATCCGGTCTTTTCTCTCCCTTAGAGTAGAAGATTGAGTTTATATGTCGCAACACTAAATTTTTAATTTTCGGTTCAATTGCACTCTGCGGCAGTCCCGATCTTCCCAAACAAAACCGTGTAACAATTTTGTTAATCATTGAAAAGTTTTCCTGCTCTAATTGCATTAACATCGAAAACTTATGAGGCGGAAAATTTTAAGCTTTCAGCGTAACCACTTTAAATCACAAGAAGCTGTCTTTCGATAAAGCTGTTTTTTTATGGAAGCCTTTAAAATGAAGTACGACTGATCTTTCTCACAACACCTGATAAGACTTTCTCCTGCAAATTATAATGAATATGTAGAACACTACAACTGGCAAATGTCGAATCATGCCGTTATTATACTATTATACTAGCACATGATAAGACTTTCTCCTGCAAATTATAATGAATATGTAGAATACTACAACTGGCAAATGTCGAATCATGCCGTTATTATACTATTATACTAGCACATGATAAGGCTTTCTCCTGCAAATTATAATGAATATGTAGAACACTACAACTGGCAAATGTCGAATCATGCCGTTATTATACTATTATACTAGCACATGATAAGACTTTCTCCTGCAAATTATAATGAATATGTAGAATACTACAACTGGCAAATGTCGAATCATGCCGTTATTATACTATTATACTAGCACATGATAAGGCTTTCTCCTGCAAATTATAATGAATATGTAGAACACTACAACTGGCAAATGTCGAATCATGCCGTTATTATACTATTATACTAGCACATGATAAGACTTTCTCCTGCAAATTATAATGAATATGTAGAACACTACAACTGGCAAATGTCGAATCATGCCGTTATTATACTATTATACTAGCACATGATAAGACTTTCTCCTGCAAATTATAATGAATTTGTAGAATACTACAACTGGCAAATGTCCAATCATGCCGTTATTATACTATTATACTAGCACATGATAAGGCTTTCTCCTGCAAATTATAATGAATATGTAGAACACTACAACTGGCAAATGTCGAATCATGCCGTTATTATACTATTATACTAGCACATGATAAGACTTTCTCCTGCAATTTATAATGAATATGTAGAACACTACAACTGGCAAATGTCCAATCATGCCGTTATTATACTTTTATACTAGCACATGATAAGACTTTCTCCTGCAAATTATAATGAATATGTAGAATACTACAACTGGCAAATGTCCAATCATGCCGTTATTATACTATTATACTAGCACATGATAAGGCTTTCTCCCGCAAATTATAATGAATATGTAGAACACTACAACTGGCAAATGTCGAATCATGCCGTTATTATACTATTATACTAGCACATGATAAGACTTTCTCCTGCAAATTATAATGAATATGTAGAATACTACAACTGGCAAATGTTCAATCATGCCGTTATTATACTATTATACTAGCACATGATAAGGCTTTCTCCTGCAAATTATAATGAATATGTAGAATACTAAAACTGGCAATTGTCGAATCATGCCGTTATTATACTATTATACTAGCTTATGATAAGGCTTTCTCCTGCAAATTATAATGAATATGAAGAACACTACAACTGGCAAATGTCGAATCATGCCGTTATTATACTATTATACTAGCACATGATAAGACTTTCTCCTGCAAATTATAATGAATATGTAGAATACTACAACTGGCAAATGTCGAATCATGCCGATATTATACTATTATACTAGCACATGATAAGGCTTTCTCCTGCAAATTATAATGAATATGTAGAATACTACAACTGGCAAATGTCGAATCATGCCGTTATTATACTATTAAACTAGCACATGATAAGACTTTCTCCTGCAAATTATAATGAATATGTAGAATACTACAACTGGCAAATGTTCAATCATGCCGTTATTATACTATTATACTAGCACATGATAAGGCTTTCTCCTGCAAATTATAATGAATATGTAGAATACTAAAACTGGCAATTGTCGAATCATGCCGTTATTATACTATTATACTAGCACATGATAAGGCTTTCTCCTGCAAATTATAATGAATATGAAGAACACTACAACTGGCAAATGTCGAATCATGCCGTTATTATACTATTATACTAGCACATGATAAGACTTTCTCCTGCAAATTATAATGAATATGTAGAATACTACAACTGGCAAATGTCGAATCATGCCGATATTATACTATTATACTAGCACATGATAAGGCTTTCTCCTGCAAATTATAATGAATATGTAGAACACTACAACTGGCAAATGTCGAATCATGCCGATATTATACTATTATACTAGCACATGATAAGGCTTTCTCCTGCAAATTATAATGAATATGTAGAACACTACAACTGGCAAATGTCCAATCATGCCGTTATTATACTATTATACTAGCACATGATAAGGCTTTCTCCCGCAAATTATAATGAATATGTAGAACACTACAACTGGCAAATGTCGAATCATGCCGTTATTATACTATTATACTAGCACATGATAAGACTTTCTCCTGCAAATTATAATGAATATGTAGAATACTACAACTGGCAAATGTTCAATCATGCCGTTATTATACTATTATACTAGCACATGATAAGGCTTTCTCCTGCAAATTATAATGAATATGTAGAATACTAAAACTGGCAATTGTCGAATCATGCCGTTATTATACTATTATACTAGCACATGATAAGGCTTTCTCCTGCAAATTATAATGAATATGAAGAACACTACAACTGGCAAATGTCGAATCATGCCGTTATTATACTATTATACTAGCACATGATAAGACTTTCTCCTGCAAATTATAATGAATATGTAGAATACTACAACTGGCAAATGTCGAATCATGCCGATATTATACTATTATACTAGCACATGATAAGGCTTTCTCCTGCAAATTATAATGAATATGTAGAACACTACAACTGGCAAATGTCGAATCATGCCATTAATATACTATTATATTAGCACATGATAAGGCTTTCTCCTGCAAATTATAATGAATATGTAGAATACTACAACTGGCAAATGTCGAATCATGCCGTTATTATACTATTAAACTAGCACATGATAAGGCCTTCTCCTGCAAATTATTATGAATATGTAGAACACTACAACTGGCAAATGTCCAAACATGCCGTTATTATACTATTTTACTAGCACATGATAAGACTTTCTGCTGCAAATTATAATGAATATGTAGAATAC